GGGAGGAGGAGGAGGAGGAGGAGGAGGAGGAGGAGGAGGAGGCGGTGGTGGACGAGGAGGAGGAGGAGGCGGAGTCGGAGAAGGAGGAGGTGGAGGAGGAAGAATAGCAACAAGAAGACTAATATCAAGACTATTAAGATTAATCTTGCGATAATGATATGACTACTCCGAGAAGTAGTAATAATACTCATAAGGATACGAATAATACTACTCATGCTACGGAGAAAAATAATACAACGACAACGAATGAGGATACTGCAAGGCATAATAATAACACTACTCACAATAATACTACTACTAATAAGAAGAAGGCGAAGCATACTATTCACACTACTCATACTAATAGTTATACTACGAATCAGACGAAAAATAATAATACCAATACTGATACGAATGATACTTTGAGTACTAATATTACTAATACGAATACGCATATTAATAACAATACTAATAGTTATACTACGAATAATACAAAGACTAATACTAATAAGAAAACTAATACTAATACTAATCAAAATACTATTAATCATAAGAGGAGGTGGAGGCGGAGGATGGAGGATGGATACTTTAAAATGGCGTGGATGAGGATGAGGAGTAGGAGGAGGAGAGCGAGAAGGAGGAGGAGCAGTAGGTGGAGGACTCTAGGCTGACTCCTCAGCCTCAGGTTCGTCTTCGACCTCACCCTGGTGCTGACCATGGTGGTCGAGACGTGGGTCCTGCGGGTCGTGTCCGCGCTGTCAGGCCCGCTGGCGTCTGTTCTTCCTTTCCGCTCCGCCTTCGCAGGAGCGGAGCGAGGACGACGATGAGTCCGTCTGGAGTCGACCATTCATCAGCCCATCATCAGGGTCTGGACGAGCGAAACCTGCAGAATCCCCAAATCTCGGATTCTTGTTTCTTGGCGTGGGTCCCTCGGGTTCTGCACCCCACCTCTGCAATACACTTTCAGCGGCCGCCCGCTTTTTGACGGCCTCCCAGTCCAGAGAGCGGCCCCCGGGGGTGCCGAGGCTGCTGGGAACGGCAGTCGTCCGCCGAAGGCACCCGTGAGTACCGTCAACCCGCATAGTATGGACGAGCGACTTTCCAAGGTTCCCCTTGCATCCTTCCCCTTGGGCCCATCCTTGGCCACTTTCGCTGGCCGCGCCCCGCTTGCAAAGTGTCGACGTGGCCTTCCAGGGTCCTCGTATCGTTGTCGCGCGTTCTGATCATACGGGCCGACTGTGTGGGCGGGGCCGATCCTGGGCCCCTGGGTGGCGCAGAGGTCCTCCTCGCCTCGGCCGGAAGGCGTGGGCATCACGCGGGAGCCCAGGCTGGCACAGCGTGGGCACGGCGGCGGTGTACGGCCGGGCAGAGGCACAGTATCGAGATCGGTCCAGGGAGGGTACTCTAATGTTCTTCGTTTTTGTTGGATTTTCTTGAGCATCTTGGGGGGCATGCCCTCGAGTGATCTTATGATTGGGGGTGTTTTCGCCGGCGGAGGGGCTCATGTTCTCGAAGTATGTTCTTCTGTCCTATGTCCGACCGTGCAGGTGCCCCCTGCG